GGCAGTCCTGATCATAAACCCAACTGAATTTGCACAAAACAGTAGCGTGAGCCTATCCCTTCCTGCCATAAACCCTGGTGCTTGCTTCTCCTCCTCACTAATGTCCTTTGGGGTAATTTTTTTTTTGAGCATAGGGCACTTCAGTCTGCATTAAAATCCTAATTAAACTTAAAAGCTTTTGCACAGCAAAGGAAACCATCGATAAAACGAGAAGATAACCTACAGAATGGGAGAAAATATTTGCAAACGATACGACCAACAAGGGGTTAATATCCCAAATATAAATAACTCATACAATCCTATATCAAAAAACCAAACAACCCAATCAAAAAATGGGCAGGAGACCTGAACAGACATTTTTTTCCCCAAGCAGACATACAGGTGGTTAACAGGCACATGAAAAGATACTCAGCATCACTCATTATTAGAGAAATGCAAATCAAAAACAAAATGAGGTATTACATCACCTCTTTCAGAATGGCTATCACCATAAAGTCTACAAATAACAAAGAATGTGGAAAAAAGGGAACCCTCGTACACTGTTGGTTGGAATGCAAATTGGTGCAGCCACTGTGGAAAACTGTATGGAGGATCCTCAAAAAAGCTAAAGATAGAACTACCATATGATCCAGCAATTCCACTCCTGGGTATGTATCCAGAAAAAAAAGAAAAACACTAATTTGAAAAGATATATGCAACCCAAAGTTATAGCAGTACTATTTACAGTAGCCGAGATACAGAAGCAACCCAAGTGTCCATCAGTGGATGAATGGATAAAGAAGATCTGTGTGTGTATTTATATATATATATATATATATAAATGAAATAATACTCAGCCATAAAAAAGAATAAAACTCTGCCATTTGCAGCAATGCAGATGGGCCTAGAGAATATTATGCTTAGTGAAGTAAGTCAGATGAAGAAATACAAATACTATATGATATCACTTATATACAGAATCTAAGAAATAATGCAAATGAATGTATACAGCAACACAGAAACAGACTCACAGATACAGAAAACAAACTACTGGTTAGAGTGGGGAGGAAAGGGGGGAGGGGGCGGTTAGGGGTATGGGATTAAGAGATATAGACTGCTACACATAAAGTAGATAAGCAACAATGATATATCGTATAGCAGAGGGAATTACAGCCATTATCTTGTGATAATTAATGGAGTATAATCTGTAAAAATACTGAATCACTATGCTGTACACCTAAAACGAATATAATACTGTAAATCAACTATATCTAAACAAAAGAAAACAAAACCAACTAGTTCCCTCAGCAAGAAAGGCCTGATTTGAATAGTGGTCTGTCTTTGTTCCTTGCTAGGATGTATGTCTGACATTTTATCTAAACATATATGCCTCAGTTGACAGTGTTAAAATAACCAAAGAGAACAGTTTCACTGATCTACGCAAGTTTATTTCAAACCTCATGAAATAGTCAGTTTCCACTCTTAAGAGTCCAGAGAAGGGCAGACCAAGGAGCAAGGCTGTGAGCTTTTGTCGAGGAAGGCATTCGGGGAATAAGGGACGAGGATGTGGCTTCAGTTCACCAGCTGGGGTTGCACACCTGACCTTACACGGAACAAAGAAGTCATTACTGATTCTTGGCAGTTAGAGATCGGCTGGCTGGATACAATGTATTTCTGGTCAAGCAGAGCATTTATAGGAAGAGGAAAGTTATCTAAGTTTTGGTTTATTGATATGGCACCCCAGGCGGGAGCAGCTCCAAGTCAGGCCTAGAAATTTATTTCCACAAAATAGATAATGAAAGTATTACAGAGCCTACTAAGGAGTGAATGCACTTGTATATTATAACTAAGCTACCGTATGGAAACACTTTAAGAATGTCAACTACACAGAAGGAAACATTTAAATGTTTAGGTAATAAGTGATGAACAAAAGACAGCACTTGGTTTACCGCTGAGTGAGCACTGGCCCACTCAGCGGTAAACCAAGACATTCTATCAAAGGGGAGAATGTCACAGACCTCCACCATCAGGCAATGCTGTTTGGTGACTGTGATGGATCATAACAAGATCAAGGCTATGTAGGTAACTGAATCACTATGCTGTACACTGGAAACTAACACACTGCAAACTGACTATATTGCAATTAACAAAGAAAAAAAACAAGATCAAGGAAACAAAGAAAAAAAACAAGATCATGCCTCTAAAAATGGTAAAATAGACCACAGTCCAAACAACAAAGTTAACCAAATTCCAAATGATTACAATCACGAATCACAGAATTACATTTACCCCCTCAAAGCAACCAACAGAGAAGCAACGTCTTGCTTCATCAAATATCAAATCACCTCCCATCAGCCCAAATTCTCTAAGGAGTCCTTTTGTGCACCCTCTTACTTATACACCCACAGTCATTTATCACTTGTGGGCATGATTATTAACCAGTAAACAGACCACTTCTCTATGACTACAGGTGCGTCCTGGTGTTCTCTGGCAAGAGAGTACTGACAGAAACGTGTGTGTGGCATTATGAGTGAATGAGAAGTTAGGTTAGTCACAAAAATTGAAATTATAAAAGAACAAAATTAAATTTGCCTGAGAATTAATTCCCCAAACTCACATTACATGCTAATATTGACTCAGAATGTATAACGATTAAGTGAAGAAAATCAGAGTGGACGTTAAAATCCACAATTGTAAAGGGATATTTTAATAAATGTTCCCAGTAAGTGAAAAATAAAGATGATACTATTTTTCAGAACACCAGTCATTTGAAAATGCAGCTAACAGAATATTTCTAAGAAACATCCACATAAGGTTTTGATGAAAAACTGCACATTGCTGTTGTTAATTTTTACAGTATGAGAAATAAGTTTAATTATTCTTACAATTTTGAATTTTGTCCCAGGCTTTTATTTTTGCAGTTTATCTGCGTTTGTGTTTGAAGCATAAATACATTTCTCTCTTCAAATGCAGATGTACGTATAAAATGTCTATCCTCAATGTTCTCAAATCCGATACTTACCTGTTTTCTGGTTGAAGTTCCCAAGGTTTGGATGATACCTGATCCGGTAACTTGAAACTATGGAAAATACCCCAAATGCACGTGGTTTATGGAAAAACAAAACCGAGACAATTTTAACAAAGAAGTGAAACCAGGGAGCAAATGTTATTTCATTTCCACATATTTCTGAATTTTCACAATAAGATTTGAGGTAAATAGGCCTTCAGTGTGACATTTCATGTTTTCTTGACTAGAAGTTAGATCATGTTTCATGTTTGCTGTCGCCATAGGTGTCAGGGCCTTTACTGTCCTCCAGGGTCCTTGTGTTTTTCTCCCCTGCTGCGTTTGGGTATCCTTGGAAACTCACTTGTAAGTAGAGTCTGTTTTAACCCACTGTTTTTCTATTGGAGCCTTGTTGATATGGTGGGAAGGTATGTAGATGGGATAATGTTCTTTTATGTCAGGATTAAACCTGTAATGTTTTGGTGGTATAGAATCCCCGGACTATGAACTTCAGAACAGATTCTTAGTGTTTATTCTTACAGCGCTTTGGTCAGGGAAGAAACCCCAAGGGTCAGGGAGCTGTCTGCTCCTTCCCCAGTCAGATAAGGCTGTGGCAAATCAGTTTCCTGTGAGGGAATGGCCTAAGTTACAGAGAACAGAATGCTTTGTTGTATTTCAAAATGCTTCCCCCCAATTCCTGTGTGAGGCGGTTTGCCAATCTTCCCGGGAGAACCCGGTTGGACTCCTGCGAGAAAAATTCACAAATTTTGCAGCGGGAGGGTGGTCCTTAACTGCCTCCAGTTAGAGCTCAAGCTAGTTCATACTGTTTCCAGCAATTCATCTTTTATGTGTCCCAAGAGGATGCTGCTCCAGTGTCTTCTCAGTAAACAGTAATTCTCTATGTCCACCAATCTCTTATTTTTGGAGCACAGGTTTGCCATATAACCGCAAATCTCATGGATATATGAAGAGGTGTTGATTTTCAGTTTCTTCAGCATCTTTTTCTTGTTTTGAAGATGGGAATGTTGACTCCAGGGTCTTTACTTATTAGAACAGAAACCATCCATTCACTTGTGTTGCTCTGTAATTTTCCCCTGTGAGACGATAGCATTTTCACATATTGATTGTCCTCCTGGTGACCATGTAGGCGGTCTCAAAGTTTCCTTTTGTGACCACTGCATCCAAAAACATGATCACACTGAGACAAATGTCTGCATTTGGATGTCTTATCCTCATAGTCTCAAAATTCTCTACCCTGTCACCTCTGCATCAATAAAGACATTTTCCATGGGTTACCTCCCATTTTATCAATGGATAAAATGGGGGCAGGATTAATATCCTACTGAAAATGTCACCACAAGCATCAAGGTAATAGAAACATGTTTGTTACTCAAAGGTACTTACTAAGGAGCGTAGGGCAAGGGTTAGTGGGTTGAAGTGGCTTGTGCAGAGGTTAATAGCTTGGCCCTTTGAGGTGTGTAGGGGTAGAGGCTGCAGGTCTTCAAGGTTTGACCCTCCTACCCACTGACACAAAAATAACTAAAATAACCCATCTTAACTTTACCCATTGTGGGCCAGGCAGGGTGAGAAGGCATCTGAAGCCTATTAAGGGTCAAATATTGAAAATGAGGTCAATGTCTTAAAGTTCACTCTTAGATTTGTTGACTGAATGATACATCTCATTTGAATGGCTTTGAATCTGAATATTAGTTAAAAAGCCACATGTAAAGCACAAGTATGTATTATAATTAGGATGATGAAGCTTCCAAAACACGTTTGAATCCAGTCCATCCTGGGGGAATGGAGAGATCCAGGAACGTGTCTAAGTATGATTCTGGAACTATGTTCAAATATTTTCATGATGTTATTGTCTAATTTGTTATCTCACTTCTTGTGCTGAAGGTGGCACCTTGCCAGTGTAGCCTACTCACATGGTGCAAACAGACCTTTTAGGAGAACAGAATTCTCTCTGGCTAATAAATACTCCAAAGCTAAGTGGTCATCAGCTACATGGCTGCCAGAGGGCTGTCCTTCATGGAAAACACCTCAAACATTAGCTCTCTGCTACATGTATTTTGGACATTTCATGACTGGCATTAATAATGTGTTTGACATCATGTGTGCACAGGTCCGTACCAGTGACTCCTGTGACAGCAAGCAGGTTGAGTGCAAATGGAGAGAAAACAGCACACTTGTGTTGGACAGGCTGGCGTTTTGAAGGAGGGCGCCCAAAATGAAATGCTGACATGCAGGGCACACAGATAAAGGTAATGTGGGGAGCGAGATCTGAGAGTACTACTACAGTACACCAGAGACCAGCAGCAGTGACCATTCTGACAGAAGTGTCTAGTATAGAATGGCCTCTACCTAACTTATAAGGTGCCAGTAAGACTTAATGATCTGGACGAAGTAACTGGCCTGAGAGACTGGGGATTGAATCTAACTAAAGCCTCAAAGAGCAGAAAGACCTATTTAGAAGAGAGCAAGGTTTGTCTAGGTAAGCCATCAGGCCATCCTCCGAGGGGGTAGCTGGGGGTCGGAAGAGAGGTACAAAGCCCCACTGGATACCTTTTTTAAGAGCCCAGTGCTTTGTACTTTGAAAAATGAGTTGATGGTGTCAATATTTTCTAGAGTGTTTTGGTGAGTCCTTGCATTTTGACTTCAGCAGGGTTATTTATAACGGAATGAGTAATTTGTCTATATGAGTAACTTAAATGGTCCCCTCATAGCATGTAGTCCAGCAGAGGGGGTGAGGGGCCCTATAACGTCTATTTGCTGCCAGCTGTAGGGACCACTTCCTCAGCCTGGACAGTAGGCACATAGTATATTAGCAGTGGTGACTTTTCATACATCAGGTGCATTGGTCAGTCATAAATTAGTTATGGAAGAGGAGGGAAGTTCCCTGAATTTTGCCTAAACTTTACGCTAGAAACCTCTAAATAGTTATATATTACGTGAGCTCACAGGGCCAAGCTTTAAACCGTCAGATCTCAGGTATAGATACATTCCAGTCAACTGACCACACTGAACAATGAAATGAGCCTCTGCAGATTGAGGTAATATGTCTACAGTAACGAGTGACCTTGATTTGTACTTGAGTATTTGAGGCAAGATATTCCCAGAGTTCTTTTTGCTAAAAAGGGTGACCTTGGGTAAGTTGTTGCTATTGGATGAACTGAGACACTAGGTCATTGTCAATGGCCAAAGATCTGTAACAGTGTGCAGATGAGTCTGATTCCTGGCCAGGGAGTTCTCTAGTGCTAGCACAATGGCCTGGAATTTGACTAATCCATCGGATGCTTGGATCCAGTTTTTGATCAGAGCTGCCTGTTTGATCTAAAGACAGAACACGGTTGGGGGAGGGTATAGCTCAGTGGCAGAGTGCATGCTTGGGTTCAGTCCCCTGTACTTCCATTAAATAACAGCAACAACAACAATAGTAAGAAATAAATAAACCTAACTTACCCACCTCAAATAACTAAAGTGGTAAGAAAAAAAGCCCCAGAACAAACAAACAAAAATAAAGACAGAACACAGCATCTCTGCCATGGACTCCATCAGATTCAGTTGCAGCACAATGTCCGTAAAAATGTGAACTTCCTGGTAACTCATGTGCTGATTCTGAGTGATTCCCAAAGTGGCCAATATGTCTAGAAAGATGACCTCTTGCAGAACGGGATGCATCAGTCAGCGAACAGGGGAGAACACATCCTCCTCAGGTGGGCCATGCTGGAGGAGCCATTCTTGGCTCTGTTCTGTAAGTACCGATTTATGCTCAGTGAAGAGGCTTCTGGTTAGGAAGCCTGACGGGTCCTGCATTCATGATCCAAGGACAAATGAAAAGCTGACTTTGGAGGATCAACTCCATTTACAAAAAGGCTGTCAGTTGCTAATTGTGGCTTCTCTAATTGTGTGCAGCACGGGCTTAAATCCACCGTGGGTAGTTGAAAAACTCCAGGATAATTAACAGGAGGCTGCCAAAGCTATTTATAGCAAAGGGATGTGGGGAGGGAGACATGAATGAACTGGCTGTTAGTGTGAAAAGTACTAGAGCTATTTGTTTCCCAATCAAAAGTGTGTGAATAAGCTCACCTCAGTATTCATTTCTGAGAGTAATTACTAGAAATCCACAGTCCAGTGATGCACTTTCAGAAAGAGGCTCGCTAAACACAACATATTTACAACGTTCATAACGACTCTTTCCTGCTGGAAGTTTTCTGGAACACTAAACATAGATTAATTTCCATCAAGCTGTCTCTTGTTACTTACATTTACAACTTTTTCCCAGTGGGAGTTTTCACATGTAAAGATGTGGGCCCATTGAAGTCTTCCCCGGGCTGCTTAACCCAGGAGGTTTTATTCAGTGAGTCCTTTCATCTGTCTGGAACTGGGATGACTGAAGGTTTTCTGACATTCTTTACATTCACATGGTGTCTCTGCTGTGGGCGGACCCACGTGTCTTCAAATGGTCGTGTGACAAGTGAAAGCTTTCCCACATTCCTTCCACTGTGGTTTTTTTCATGTCTTCAGAAAAAACTCTGGTAACACCTGAAGGCTTTTCCACATCCCTTACAGTCACAGGCTTTCTCTTCAGCACGAGTTCTTTGCTGTGTTTCTAAGGAAGTGCCAGTCTGGGCGGGATTTACTGCGTTGCTGCCATCTGTAAGGTTTCTCTTCTATGTGAGTCCTTTCACGTGTTTGCAAACTTAGAGCACATCCAAGGACTTTCCTACACTGTTTACACGGACAGGCTTTCTCTCCAGTGTGGCTTCCTTCATGTTTTCAAAGCGAAGTTGATTTACTGTTAAAGGCTTTTCCATATACTTTATTCACAGAATTCCTTCTCAGTATGAACTCTCCTGTGTTTTTGGAAGGAAGTGTAATACCTGAAGGCCCAACCACACCGATCACACTCACAGGGCTTCTCGCCGGTGTGCAGTCTCATGTGAACTTTTAAAGTCTGGTGATGGGACAGGGCCTTCCCACACTCCTTGCATTCATAGGGTTTCTCTCCGGTGTGAGTTCTTCCGTGGGACGGTAAGGAGCTGTAATAACTGAGGGCTTTACCGCACTGTGTACATTTATAGGGTTTCCCTCCAGTGTGAGTCCTTTTGTGTTTGTAAAAGAAAGGGTAGTATCTGAAGGCTTTACCACACTGTGTACACTCATAGGGCTTCACGCCGGTGTGCAGTCTCATGTGAAATTTTAAGGTTTGGTGATGGGAGAGGGCCTTCCCACATTCCTTGCACTCAAAGGGTTTCTCTCCAGTGTGAGTTCTCCTGTGTGGCTGTAAGGAATTGTAATAACTGAAGGCTTTACCGCACTGTGTACATTTGTAGGGTTTCTCTCCGGTGTGAATCCTCTGATGTATCCGAAAGGAGCTAGGAGAGATGGAGGCTCTCGCACATTCCTTACATTTATAAGGTCCATCTCCAGTGTGGGTGATCGTGTGCGCTCAGAGGTTTGAGATCCCTCTAAAGGCTTTCCCACACTCCTTACATTCATAAGGCTTTTCCCCAGTGTGAATTCTTCCATGTTTTTGAAAAGAACTGGGACAACAGAAGGCTTTGCCGCACTGCTTGCATTTATAGGGTTTCTCCCCTGTGTGAGTCCTTCCGTGTCTTTGAAAAGTGTGATAATCCCTAAGGGATCTCCCACACCGTTTACACTGATAGGGTTTCTCTCCACTGTGAGTGGCTGTGTGTGTTCGCAGTGAAGAGGAGCAGCGAAAGGCTTTCCCGCACTCCTGACACGTACACGGGGCTCATCCCGCGTGCGTTCTCATGTGCCTTCGAAAGGCTGTGCTCCACCTGAAGGTGTCCCCACATTCCTCACACTCACAGGGCTTCTCTCCCGTGTGGATCCTCTCGTGTGCCCGAAAGGATGCGCGACAGTGGAACGCTTTCCCACATGCCTTACGTTTATATTTTTTCTCTCTATTGTGATTTTTCTCGTGTGCCTCACAATACTGGCGACACCTAAAAGCTTTGCCACAGTCCTTACATTTGTATGGCTTCTCTCCACAGTCCTCATACTCACATGGTTTATGCTCAGGGTGACATCTCATGTGTCTGGTAAGGGATGAATGACAGGGAAAGACTTTGCCACGTGTGCAGCATTCACGTGGTTTCACTCTGGTAGTTTTCTTCTCCAGACTGACGTTTGGAATAAGGCTGAAGTTTTCTCCACACTGACCGCCCTCTTTACTTTCACAGAGTCTCTCTGCCACATGACTTCCGTCAAAAAGAATTAAAAAAGGAGTACATTATTAATGAGCTCTTCATTAACAAGCTTATATTTCATAAATGTATTTCAAGTACATTTTTATCCTTATAGCAACAGTGTAGGTTTCCTGCCTTGTCTGAGTGGTTTCAAGTTGAAAATAAGAATGAGCTGCAAGAGGGCTTTACTCTTGCAATGATCAAAACAGTGATATTCACACACAGTTTATTAACAGTGGTAAAGTATTTTACAAACATTGAACATCTACATCACATAAGCTAATTTTGGTGAAGATTTTCTAAGAATAACTAAATTTAGAGCATGCATGATTTCTTTTATTTCCTTCTGTTAAAATTGCATAACATAAAGGGCTACTCACATGAGCCACTACTTTATATTGTGGATGTGACTCACCTTAGCTTTCTCCCCTGGTTTTTGTACTGATCTTCAATATCATGATCTTCCGATTTCCTCCCTAAATTATAGACTGAGAAAAATCAGTGCAAAACATTAGAAGTTACAGAAAAATTATTAGGTTCGAAGTCCATTGTTGGCTGTGACCTTGCCTAGTTTATTTACCAGCGTCCTGCATTTCCACATTTGACATCTTGGAACAGTGTTAATGAGCAAGAAACACTCGTTCTCTAATTGACAAAGTGAAGGAAGGGGCCATCCCTACCTACTGAGGCCAGGTTCCTCAAGGTTTCCCGCATCACATCTCTGTAAAGCTTCTTCTGCGAAAGATCCAGTAAAGCCCACTCCTCCAGGGTGAAGTTCACAGCCACGTCCTCAAAGGCCACTGGGTCCTAAAACATCCCAAATATGTGTAAAGTAGGATGTGTGAGACTGACAAGATTGGACATCTTGACTCCCTTTAGAGGAAGGTTACGTATGATTCTGTCTTCTCCAAACCTTTATTCTATGATTTGATCATCAGAAACTCTCTGTCCACACTTACTTCCTCATAAGCTTAACAGTATCATAAACACAGAGAAATTATTTACACACTTTTATTGTGATCTCACTACATTTTATTTATCTCTAATTGCAAGGTCCAGAATATGTTGGAAAATGACAGAAATGCTGCAAATATGAAATAAATATTATCATTTTAAGATCATGGATTCCTTGTGAGGAAAGCTCTTCCTTCTCCCTTCTTATCGCCCAGCATTACAGCACTCCGTGAGGCAGAGGGTCAAATCTGCGTGAGGTTTTACTAAATAAAAACAGAGTGAAGAACTAAAAGTTTGTACTGCTGTCCCTATCACCAAACATGAGAGTCCAGAATACCTGTGGAAATCCAGCTTGTAATAAGGTCCAGCCGGCTACTTCGTCCCCAGAGTAGGCCAGGCCTTTAGAAACAGGTGATGCGGCGCGTAGAACGAGAATGTCCTTGTCAGGAAGTTTTGCTTTTAACTTGTGTAATGTTTATCACACGTGCAGTTTTCCCTTTCTCTCTCTGTCTGATTTAATGGGCTAGGAAATTACCTGGAACTTCGAGTTCAGACACTAGAAAGAAGGCATCACAGCTTAGACCACGAAGCCCTATACTCGTGTGCCTTGGGGAGAGGAACACACAGGCACACAAAGTGTGATAAGATGCCAGAATAGCTCTTTACGGCAGAAGCAGAACACTGTGCCCTGGGCCTTGCTGACCTTGCCGAACAGGTTAAGAGCTGCAGATTGCAAGTGTGCTCGCTGAAAATCACAGTGGATTCGTGGCTAATTTGCCCATCAAATATATGAAGGATTCAGCAGCGCTTTCCTCCAAATGACCCTAAACCCTCCATTTTCAAACTGCAGGAGGAAGTGTTTCCCCATCGGCCATTCCAGAGGGTGTTCTCCCAGTTTCTCTAATCCCCAAACTTCCACGTGGTCTACGGAAGCATGATGGCTTGACCACCGAACTTATAAATCCCTCAGCTGGTGACACCACACACTGCGAGTAGCGTATGGAAGGGTTTACTTCCATAATTGAGGTCTCTGAGGGGAAAGTTTGGCATATTTCTCCAGCGGTCATGAAATGGCTTGAGAGAGAAAGGAGAGGTACCTGGACTTTAAAAAAAGAAAGGTTAGAGGGTAGGTTTGGGTGAAGGTTCACACGCTAGAACAGGATCTTCTGAGGCCTGAATGTCTTGTGATTGCCAAAGGAAGGAGCCCCAAGGCACTTTTATCACTCTTTTGACTTGTGGGTCAAGGGGAATGAGGGGGAATGAGACTTTAAAGCTGTCAGCAGTCAAGCATCAAAAACTGGAGTCAGAGAACTCTGGTTTCTGGTCTGGTAGTTAAGGAACTTGGATCATTCCTAACCTCATCATTCCTAACCTCACAGAAAAAAGTGAAAATGTGAGAAATCAACAACTCTTCTTAGACCATCAAAGCACTGAAGTTACAGGAAAAGCACTGTTTCCAAAACTGGGTAAGAGATGGCATTTAAAAATATATCCTAAATAATCCGTTTTTTTCCTTCTATTTTTAAAGCACCCTTACTGTGGTATGGTTCCTGTACAGTAAACTACACATATTTTAGATGTGCAATTTGATGAATTTTGATAGATGTATACACCCATGAAACCACTACCACAATCAAGAGCGAACATTTCCATCACTCCCTAAGAGGTGCAAATTTCAAATTCCCAATTTATCCCTTCCTACCCCCTTTACCCCCGGTAACCATAAATTTGTTCTTATGTCTTTGAGTCTGTTTCTGTTTTGTAGATGAGTTCATTTGTGTCCTTTTTTTTTTAAGTTTCCACTTATAAGCGATGTCATATGTCATTTTTCTTTCTCTTTCTGGCTTACTTCACTCAGAATGATTATCCAGGTCCATCCATATTGCTACAAATGGCGTTTAAAATTTTTATGGCTGAGTAGTATTCCATTATATATATGGGTGTGTGTGTGTGTGTGTGTGTGTGTGTGTGTGTATGTATATATATCTATATACACTGATAACTGACTGAAACAGGACACCTTTCATTTAACTGAACAGAGCGATCTGAGAGGCTGTCACCCCGGCTTGAGTCCCCCCACCAAATAAAACATAACTCTCAACTTCTAGGCTGTGCATTTATTTCAGTCGACATCCCCCATAACTCAGAGGGCCAGGATCTTAGCTGCAGCAGAGGCAGGGGCTGCAGCAGCAGAGGGACTTACAGCTCCTGGGCAGCTTCCTGATATTAGGAGAGTGGGCTCAGCCTGCCACCTAAGGGCTGCCTTTACCCTCTCTTTTTCTCTCTGAAATAACTGTTCTTTATGGAGGGAGAGAGCATCTGCTCTTTATGGAGTGGCTAATCTCATCCTCATACCCCTGAAGATCCTCCCCCCGCAAGGTCTGGGTGAATCTAGCCTCAGTCACACCTTCATTCTAAACACACAGACAGATTCCATCCAGACATGGACCCAGGACCACTGGGAGGAGGGCCTCCTTCTCATACACCTGCTCCTAAAGGACAAGGAATGACCTAAACTGCCGGCTCTGGGTCCTCCGTATACAGAACCCAGGCTCGGAGGGGTCAACAACGCAACTCAGGGCAGCACAGCGCACAGGAAACGCGCCCCAGCAGCAGCAGCAGCTGCTCACAGAGCAGGAGCCTCCGGGCTTTATCAGCCTGGCCAGGTAAGAAGAACTAGGGGGAAAGGGAGGGGCGAGGCTTAACTTTCAGCAGTCAGACATCAAACATGTGGATCCTGTCTACTCATTACAAGAACAAACCCACGTAAGAAAAATATGCTTTTGCAAGGCTTGTTTTTATATAAAGAAACATAGGATGATCAAGAGGCAATCAAAACTAGTTATCTGACCATAAGTGCTGGACAGAGTGTGGAGAAAAGGGAACCCTCCTACACTGCTGGTGGGAATGTAAATTGATGCAGTCACTATGGAGAGCAATATGGAGGTTCCTTTAAAAACTAAAAATAGTTACCATGTGATCCAACAATCCCACTCCTGGGCATATATCCCAAAAAGACAAAGGCTCTAATTTGGTTAGATACATGTACCCAATGTTCACAGCAGCACTATTTACAACAGCCAACACATGGAAGCAACCTAAGTGTCCATCAACAGATGATTGGATAAAGATATAGTATATATGTATACAATGGAAT